TCCAGGTGCCGGCCTCGCAGGTACACTCCTGGCAGTCGGAGCTGATCGTGTGGCCAGGCTGCAGGGGAGGCACACGTGAGCCCCAGCCCCCGTCACCTGCCTGTCCCGGAGGCGGCCAGAGGCAGGGGCGCAGGGGGCCTGAGGGAGGGGCTTTAAAAGTGGGGTAGTGCCTGAGGCCCCCGGGGGCCCCGGTGACCACCTCCTCCTTCACCTCTTGGCAGAGCAGGAGGGGTCCCAGTGAGGATGGGGCTGGCCAGCACCCACACTCCTCCAGGGCCCAGGGCTCCCCGTCCTGCTGGGACACTGTGTCCCCCTCGCTGGCCCTCCCCTGAGCCTCTGGCACTGAGAGGAAGCCCTGCCCCCCAGAGCCCCACACTCACCTCCACCGGCTCCCCGTGGGGCCCCAGGCAGCCTGGAGGGACAGAGATTAACGGCCCGGCCGGAGAAACGGGCGGGGCCTGGTCGCGCTCAGCACAGAGCCGGGTGCTGATCTCCGGCGGGTCCTCACCTGGTACAAGGTGCCGTTCACGCTGCAGGCCGTCCAGGCTGTTGGGAGGAGAAGCAGCTGCACTCCCCGTCCTGCTGGGACACTGTGTCCCCCTCGCTGGCCCTCCCCTGAGCCTCTGGCACTGAAGAGGAAGCCTGCCCCCCAGAGCCCCACACTCACCTCCACCGGCTCCCCGTGGGGCCCCAGGCAGCCTGGAGGGACAGAGATTAAAGTCACTGCTGGGCAGCCACGGCCCCCCAGTCTCCAGGGCAGAACCCTCGGACCCACAGCCACAGGAAGCCCCGGTCCCGCTGAGGGCACACCCGCTGCCCCAAGCCCGCCGTGGGGACGTACGGGGGCAGCCGGTAGGCACGCAGACTTCCTTGCTCGCGCTGAAAAGCGTCATGCCCTCCGGACAGAAGCAGCCTTCCGTGACGGGGCCGGCGTCCTGAAGGGCCCTGCAGGGGAGTGGAGGGGTGTTCTGGCTCCTGTGCCCTCCCCCCTGGGGTTCTGGGGGGCACGGGAGGAAGGGGCAGGCACGTACACGAGGCTGGCGCTGTCGCCCCCGTAGCAGTAGGAGGGGTTGGAGGGGCCGCAGGGCTGGTACACCTTGTCAGCGGGGCAGGTGAAGGCTGTGGAGAGAGAAGCCACACCTGAGCCCACGGCTCCAGCCAGGCTCTGGCGGAGTGCGGACACCTGCTGGGGGCCTGCAGCCCGGAAGGCGGCCCCTCAGGCCCCACCCCTGCACCCTGGGGCCAGTGTGCTCTGCCCTGGGGTCCACCCTCTTCCTCTTCCTCCTCCAGGAGCTCCCCCCCCGCCCCCGCCCCGGCTATGCTGCCCGTGGGCGGCACTCACGGCAGGTGTTGTTGGTCCGGCCGCGCCAGTCGATGCACACCCCGTGGGAGGCGCAGAGCGAGGCGTACAGCTCCAGGCCGGAGCACACCACGTCGGCGTCGGTCATGTGGCAGTGGTCGAATGCACAGCCCTGGTAGTAAGGCCTCGGGGGGATCACGGCGTGGCACGGCAGGAAGACACTGCGGC